GTTTCGTGTGTTTCTGTCTGATCTTACTTATAAATATCATAAGCAACACGACGGGTGCCACATGTGGAGCAGGATCTGCTTACCCTTCCGGAGCACCTGTGATCACCCCCAGTTTTTGGTGGGGTTCATGTTGCTTAGTCTTTAGTTTTCTATGTTGTGTCATCTGTACTATTATTTGTCTGTTTGTCTTTTTATTTTTGGCCATGGTGTTGTCTGTTTGTTTTCGATCTATGAGTTTGACTGTCCCTCTGGTATCTTTCGTCCCTCTTTTATTGTTTTGCTTGTATTGTTACGTAGTTGATTCAGTTCTTTTTCTGTAAAATTGTCAGTTAGCAATTAAACTCTACAGATCTCGAAAGTCAGAATTAAGCATACATATAAAAAAGAAAATGTAGTATGATTGCCAATGAGACAACTCTTCAGAAGTGTCAAAATGAAACGGAAATTAACACATATAGGTCACTGCACGGCCTTCAACAACGAGTAAAACCCATACCACATATGTACAGTATTGAAAAAAATAACATAGTTCCCTTGATGAATATTGTTTTTCATGACTTGCGTGTATATTTATTGATTTATATAAGAGCTTGAATTTAATAAGTAAATATAAAAAAGAAGATGTGGTATGATTGCCAATGAGACAACTCCCCACAAGAGACCAAATGATAAAGAAATTAACAACTATTGGTCACCGTACGGCCTTCAACAATGAGCAAAGCGAATACCTCACAGTCAGCTATAAAAGGCCCCGAATGACAATGTAAAACAATTCAAACGAGAAAACTAACGGCCTAATTTATGTACAAAAAATGAACGAAAAACAAATATGTAACACATAAACAAACAACAAGCACTGAATTACAGGCTCCTGACTTGGGACAGGCACATACATACAGAATGTGACGGGGTTAAACATGTTAGCGGGATCCCAACCCTCCCCTAACCTGGGACAGTAGTGTAACAGTCCAACATAAGAACGAACTATAAAAATCAGTTGAAAGAGGCTTAACTCATCAGATGGATAAAAATACAAATACAAGTGGACGTGGCCGAGTACTTGTACATTCAAACAACAAAAAGACACTAAGTACAGATCTGAGAGTCCTCGCAGTTACTGACAGCTAGTTCAAAGCCACTAACAACTAATAAAAAAAATCATGCATCTAAGAATAAATTATCAATCCGTACAAATCCAACATCCAATGGATTTAGTGTAAAGACGTCATAAACAGTCAGAGAAAAACATGACCTTGTGCAATGGCAAGATACAGGTATCGACAGATTGTAGATCCATGAATGTGTATATGTATATAACAATAATATTCAGTTTGCTTTTAATTTACTGATAACAAAATCAGTATTAGTACCAATAAAAATATTTAATGATCTAATTACAGTGTTGAACTGGTAACCTTTTAGAATAAGTATATTTAAAGAATCGATAAGCTTACCAGGATCGTTTCTAAATTTCCGGGCACGGTAAACAATATTGCGGTAAAAATGAGGATGTGCAATCCCGTTTGAAATAAGTTTTCTACAGGTACAACCAAACTTCAAAACCAAATCTTTATATCTGTGGAAGAATTTAGTAACGGTTTTAAGTAATTTGTGGTAACGAAATCCCTGGCTTAATAATTTACCAGTAATACATAGATTACGTTCGTTAAAATCAAAAACGTCACAAAAGACACGGGCATAGCGAACGAGTTGTGAAATATAAACACCGTAAGATGGAGCCAAAGGAACAACACCATCCAAAAAGGGAAAATTAACAATAGGGAACGAAAAATCGTCCCTTTTGTCGTAAATTTTAGTGTGGAGTTTCCCGTGTAAAACCGAAATATTTAAATCTAGGAAAGGACAGTTGTTACCGTTTCAATTTGATTTATTTAAAGTAAGTTCCTTTGGGTAAATTTCGGCAGTATATTGAGAAAATTCTTTATTATTTAACGAAAAAATATCATCAAGATAACGGTAAGTGTTGTTGAATTTATCAATTAAATGCAATTTAGACGGTTCTTTACTGAGTTTGGTCATAAACTGTGATTCATAACAGTACAAAAACAAGTCTGCTATTAAAGGGGCGCAATTAGTGCCCATGGGAATACCTACAACCCGTCGATAAACTTTGCTGCCGAAACGTACATAAATATTATCAAGGAAAAAATTAACAGCTTCAATCATCTCATCACACCTCCAGTTAGTATATCTAGCATATTTACCTTTCTCATTAGAGAAGAAGGCTTTAAATGAGTAGCAGCAAATATATTTGCATTCAGATTTACCAAACGACCATTTAATTAAATAGTCAAATTTTTGTTTGATAAGATTGTGTGGAAGTGTAGTGTAAAGAGTAGAAAAGTCAAAACTGTCAACAGAATCAAAAGGACCATCAAAAGCACGTAATTTATCTAAAACATCCAAAGAATTTTTTACACTCCAAAAACAGTTAAGTCCACTATTTTCATATATTTTATTACAATAGTTTATGATAAGCTCTTTGATAGTAGTTAAGGAACTTGTTAAAAGCACTGAAAGATTAGTTGTAGAACACTTACTAGAGGCCGAGATGAAACGATATTTTACTGTTTTTTTTGTGTAGTTTAGGTAACCAATACACAGTAGGGACCTTCAAATGTTCAGAAGAAGCCTTAAGCTGTGATGTGGTTATGATATGTTTGTTAACTATATGACTCTCTGTGGGCGCATGGATTTGAATGTAGATGAATTTAAAATTTCATTCTTAAGAACGTCCGTGTAGTATTGACGGCATACCACCTCCACATTGTTGGCTGCTTTGTCGGCCGGTACAAACACAAACCGCTTTGAAAGTTCTTGAAGTTTATTTCTTATTCTGGAAATAGGCGTATTATGTACTCTATTATTTACTTCTAAATTATTTTCAAAATGTGATATTCTATTATCTACCACATTCATACATTTATTTAAATAAGAATGAAGAGATTTTTTATCAGATTTTTCCCGTTTACACCAATTTTTACAAAACGAGGAAAGAGCATCTTTGGTGACCTGACGACACTGTCTCCAATCTATTTTAGATGGAGGACGATATTTTGATCCTTTTTTCAAAAAGTTTTTAACCTCTCTGTCCTGGACGATATTGAGGTCCCCCGTAATAACATGGCCATAGGGAACATATCTAAACTTCGACGATTCACAGTTTCAAGTTAAGGGAGTATTATTTTATACATTGACGTCTGATGTTACCGGCGTATAAATAAAAATTAAACTTCTACTGGGTTTTTTGTATGTGTATGAAATAATAGGTGGCTCTGTGTTATCAAAATAGGGAGGTATGAAGTTTTAAACGGTAGTCATTAAATATACTAGATAAGTTGATAAAATCAATACCTCTGCTAATATATTTAATTTTTAGAAAATGACGTTTTTATGATCTTCAGGTTTTTAAAAACTTATTTCTGTTTCTTTGTATTTTTCCTTTAAATTTTTGGTGGTATATTTTTATATCATTCTACTCAATTGAGATAGAAAATTGTCCCTTGAATCGCACTTGCAGTTGTCGCTATAGTCGCTATATGCAAACTAGTATCTCTTTGTTGGATTGTTTCCTAGGCCGTGTTCACATCTCGCAAAAATTTAACTCTGTATGGTGTAAGTGTACTCCACACTTAAACTACACTCTATTACGTTCCATTGATAAAAATCAATGTGTACATGTAGTTTAAAACAGGTAATCACTGCACGCAGTCGATAGTCAATGTAGACCTTGTGTGGGTTAAGTGTACATAGGACAGGGTTGTCTTTCTTGAGAACATTGAATCTGACGCCATAGTACAAATTTTCAACACTATTGGAAAAAATCGCAAATTGGACGTTGAAAATACAGGCACTTGTCACAGTAAAAAATATATTCCTATATACCTTAATATAACACGGGGCTCTTAAAGACCAAACAGCCTATTGTTTATGCGCTTTAGCTAACGCAACTTGGTTGTAAAATGAAAGCTCTATGACGTTGTGTCCAGCTCGGCAAAATGCGGCAGATGAGAACATCACATTTCGCGTATTTCGCGGATTCCAATATGATGTACGCATCAAAATACGTTTTGTCAAGAAAAATGAGATACAACAGCCACAAAAAAATTAATAAAAAGCAAACACAAAAAAATGCAAACACAAAAGTGTGCAAAAGTTTAACGCTTAGAATTTTGAACTTTGGTGATACAGCCCTTGGATGGTGTAAACTTTTCATAAAAACGTGTATGATGTAATGGTGTATGGCATATGGTGCAATGGTAGAAGTTGTATGGTGCTATGGTGTATGGTGTAAGGGGAATGGTGTAATGGTGTAACGTGCGATTGGGAATGATGTGAATGAATGGTGTACGACATTTAAAACTTTGTAAAATATTGATAAGAACTGATTCTTAATTTTATACATTAATTTACAATATTGTGATCAAAATTCGTTTTTTAAAATAAATAAATAATTTTGTAGTTGCACACTTTCTTTGAAATGAAATTGCATTATGGTGTAATGTGTAAGGTGAATGGTGCAAAGGTGTAACGTGTTTGGTGTAATGGTGTATGATGAATGGTGTAATGGTGTATGATGAATGGTGTAATGGTGTATGGTGTTAGTGGGTCGTTTACACCATCCAAGGACTGTATGCAACAAAATAGTTATAATAATTTCGATCTACTGGTACCAATTTTGACTTAAACTGATTCTCGTAAAACGTTGGTCGGTCTTGTGAAGAAGTTCAATAATTAATACTGCTAAATTGACAAAATATTTTAAAACAAATAAAGATGCATTGTATTTTGCCATAGCCAATGATTGGTATCGTTCAAAATTGTCTTAAGGGGAAAAAAATGATAAAGATTGGGCATGCAATTAAACTAAAACAAACTTGATTTCAAATCAAAATAAGTGGATCAAACAATTTATTATGAGACAAAATCAATTATTTTTCATAATATTTATTTTCCATAAAAAAGGAAAAACAGCGTTTTTATATTCATATATTTTGTTCTTTATTAAATGCTGACATATTCATATATGTTGTATTTACGTTTTTCTTATTACTCCTTCTTAATTCAGTTTGAGACGTCGTTGACTTTTTGAATGTCTTAAATCTATTATTCATATTTTTGTTGATTACTTTTTTCTTGGAATGTACAAAAATGCAGAGGTGTAGGAGCCGGGAAAAGGGACCATGCCCGCATTACTTACTTGCAATAGTGAGAGGCAAATCTATAAGACCATCCCCTCCCGAATTTTTTGCAATTTTTTTGTTATTAAATTATAACTGGCTACGAAAGAGGATATTAACATGTTTTGTACATGTCACATTTAAGTATAATTAATTACCTTAAAATTGAGAATGGAAATGGGGAATGTGTCAAAGAGACAACAACCTGACCATAGAGCAGACAACAGCCGAAGGCCACCAATGGGTCTTAGTCTACCTATCCTTTCAACTTTCTTAGATTTTTAATATTTAGAAATGCTAGGCTCAAGCTAGCAGCAACTCGCTAACAGCCACTACGCTAGCAGCCAGTTTTAAGATGCATCATTAGATTCAACCTCAACAGAATTGTTTTTGAAATAAATCACACAATGAAATTACAAATTTAAAGAAGATGTTAAATGAACAATGATATATTTTTGGAAGTGAAAACAAAGTTAAAAATATATAATTCTGTAGTAGACTAACAATAATTCTGTGGTAGCCGTAAAAGAGACAAATTAAAACAAGTAAAACAGGAATTATTATCATTATCAGTAAGTGTTATTTAAAATGTCTGTATTAAAATGGAAATAAGACGAATTATAACTGATGTTTGTTTTAATGTGATTTATAGCAATACAGTAGCAAGTGTGACAATAAGGGATGCAACGTTAAGTATATGAATACATTCAACCTGTCGATAAAATATTGCCAAAAACTACACATATGTTGTTAGGGGAACATTTACAGTATTACAAAGGTTTGGAAGTGCATTAGGGACACCCCTTGTAAAGTTATTTAGTTGCACATAAGTCGGAATTATAAGTTATGTTGTGTGTTTTAAGCTGGAATCAAATCATCATGTTGAAGTCAACTTGTCGAAATATACGGAAGCGTATTTTACCCTCGTTTTAATACTTATAATCAAAGATGGCGATATATTTTGTTATTTCTAGTTACTAGTACTGCGATTTAATTTTTTCGACAAATTGCCTTACAAGGCATTAAATCTCTTTATTTTTTATTCGCCTAAATGAAAAATCGTTCTAAATAACGCGTCAAAATATCGAATCCAGAATAGTTTTGACGAGTATATTATACGTCAATAAAATTATCATGCAATAATTCTAAATTGCCTTGTTTTCTTCAATATATGGTTTTATAAAGCAACAAATTGTTTTAAAGTAAGGCGAGCAACGGGAAAATTTTCAGCTAAATTGCGATAGATATGGCATTTTGATTTTGGAAGGATAGCAGGTCGCCATCATTCACATTTTGGCCATTTTTATTCAAGCAAATGGACGTAAGAAGTTATAGTTGTAAAAAAACACTACTATAACAGCGGTTTTTGGTCGGACGTATGTTTTGTGCACTGTTGTTGTTCTGTTTGTATTTTTCTTTTTTAGCCATGACGTTGTCATTTTATTTTCGAGGTGTGATTTTGAATGTCCGTTTGGTGTCTTTCGCCTCGCTGTAAAAAGAATGAACAGTTTATAACATGTGTCCAAAGATACGATATACTCACAAATTATTAGTAAAGTAAGTGTTCCAGGCCATCTGAATTTCCTTGTCTTATCTATTAACCTTTACAGTTTCTAAACAGTCGATGTATTTTACTAGTAAAGAAATAACCGTTAGACTTGCAATACATATTCATAACAAATTACTGCTATATGGATATCATGGCAGAGAGGATTATACAGCATAGTTAAAAAAAACATATTCTTTGAGTTGAAGCCAAGGTTAAAAATTCTTTGTCGAGAAAAAAAAAAAACAATGTTCAATCGCCTTCTCATCTACTAGTTTGTTTAATTTAATGCTATGTACTGCATATTTTGAGATTATCATTTCAACTATTAGTTTTCGTTTACAATTTTTTTCTTATTACAATTTAGTTAAAACATCAGTTTAACATCACAATATGTTACCAACACACACACACACACACACACACACACACACACACACACACACACACACACACACACACACATTAACTAATGGAAATCTGATATTTTATCATGAAATACATAATTTTTTTTGTAAAATACATTAAATGTTTGAGTTTAACAAGTTGGCAAAATATGGTACATTGTATTGTTTTACAGAAACTAAAAGTTCTTTTACAAAATATTTTTTTAAAATTATGTATTACGTATATAAATGTCATGAATTATTCACAGATATCCTGTCTATTGGATAATTTTCTCGTGTGAGTACACAATTTTGATATCGAATTTTACATCCCATGAACGTGTGTTAGACATTGTCATTAAATAATTAGATCGAATTAGAATTAAAATAGATCCTATGACACAAATGATGATTTTAATAATCATTCCATGTCTTAGCAATGAAAATTTACTTTATATGAGCATCACCAGTGTCGTAAAAACGATTTAATCAGTAATTTCTTTTCTCACTTTGTTATAGTTATAATATTTGAACATAGTTACTTCATTGTATTTATTTTGAATAAGTTCCTATGTGTTGCCTGAAGATTTCAACAACATATGTTTTTCCATTTTTATTAGCAATGTCCATTGGCGATGTCCCTGATTTGTCACATATATCTGCAGATGCTCCATAGCGGAGAAGGATATCTACAATTTCGATACATCCGTTGCAACTTGATTTAAACAGAGGCGTCTGTCCAAATGTGTCTCGAGCGTTTATATTCGCCTTGTTATTTAGCAGTTCCATAACTATATTTGTTTTATTGTAATTGCATGCTGTATGAAGAGGGCTTATCTTATATTTGTCGGCCAAATTTATTTCAGCACTGTATTTCAATAATAATTTAACCACATCTTTATTCCCGTTTATACAAGCAAATGTAAGTGCTGAACAATTATCTTTATCGCAATGATTAACATCTGCCTTTGAACGCAACAATAAATCTACCACATCTGTGTGATTCTCCTTGCAAGCAATCATTAGTGGAGTTACTTGATCCTCATCACAGATGTTGATACTTGCCCCGTTTGCAAGTAGCAAATCAACAGTTGTAGGAAAACCTTTAGAAGAACTATAATAAAGAGCAGTCAACCCATGTTTGTCTTGTTTATTAACGTTGGGTGTATTATCCAACAGTACTTTTACAACATTATCATGCCCTTGCATGCAAGCTTGATGGAGAGGTGTAATTCCCTCTTTTGTTTTGTGATTTACTGACGCTTTTGCTTCAATCAAGATGTTTATTATACTCGCATTGCCTGTTTTGCATGCTTCGTGTAAAGCTACAGTGCATGGTTTATGACTGTTGACTTTAGCTTTTCTCTCTAAAAGCATTTTTACTATGCTAATATTTTCATTTCTACAAGAAACACGAAGAGGTGTCATTTCACTATCAGTTTTGTGATTGACTTCGGCTTTTCTATCAAGCAAATGTTTTAGAACCATTTCATGATTTTCATCACATGCAATATATACAGAGGTTTTGCCAGAGGAATCTTTCGCTTCCACATTTGCATTACCATTTAGTAAAGCTGTAACTGTTTTAGAATGGCCATTGTAACAGGCTAAATGTAACGGTGTACATCCATCCTCATCTTTAACATCTACTTCTGCATTGTTTATAAGCAATAATGTGGCAAGATTTGTATATCCATTTGCACAAACCACGTGAAGAACACATCTTTTTTTCTTTTTTTTATATTTTTCATTTACTCTGATCCCCTTAGCCGAGTACTGTAACAAGTACTCTACGACTTTGAAAAAACCCTTTTCACAAGCATAAAAAAATGGGCCTAATTCCTCGTTGTTAGGAACATCAATGAAAGATTTGTTATTAACAAGGTCTTTTACAATTTGTAGATGCCCTTTAATGCAAGCTAAATGTAATGGTATATTGCCAGCGGTGTCCCTTTCATTAATCATCTGTTGATCATGGATAAAAAAGGAAGAGTATTCATGATATCCTAGAGCGGACACAACATGAAGGGCTGTCATACCGTTTTGTGTTTTTGTCAATTCATTACGTGTTATATATTGTTTTATATATTCCAGAAACTTTACCCGGAATTGTGGAATTACATTTTGTGCACTTTCAAAAACGTCTTTATGCAATCCTTTATTCAATTCAGAAACAAGTCGTCGGAAATATGCATCTTCACTTTGCGCTTTAACGTGAACTGCAAAGAAATTTGTTTCTTCATTCACAGATTCTAACTTAATCTGATTTAAAATGACTTCAGTTTTACCATGTTTAATAACTGATTGAATGAATGTTTTTGCAATGCAACACAGAACTATGTTTTGCATAGTTTCATGGACAAACTCTATGCAACCGTCCGATTCTTTAATGTATTCTCCCTTGAAAGCAGCTAAAGTCGACATTAATAAATTTTTAGAAGGATATTGAAGGAAAGTGGATTCATGAAACAAATCTTGCAGTAGTTCATTATGCTCATGATTATCGATAGTGAGTGAGTTCTTTGCAATCCTTTGTTTGATGGCAAGAAAAGCCAAAGCAAATAAGCTAACATATGATTTGGTCTTGAAGTTATTCATTTCGTCTTCAATAATTTGATAAGGAACTATAAAGAATTGTTTAATAGGACATTTTGGCAAAGATGAATACGTCGAGCATAACAATGGGAGAAAATTATACATCACAGTTTCGTCATCATTAAAAGCTGTTGCATCAACTGTATTTATATACACTCTGCAGATATTCCATCTCTCTTCAAGTGACAGCTTCAGCTCTTCCGATAATAAATCACACTTATAAAATGGTATACTTAAGTTTGTATACTGTTGTTGTTGCCAAATGTATGTTCTGACTGTGAAAATTAGTTTTGTGTGGTTATTATTATTGAAGAGCGTTTTGAGTAATGGTCCACTATTTTCCCATGAAACAACATCCGTTTCATGAACGGTATATTTTCCAATAAAATCATCAACGATAAAAATTTGTTTTGTACCAGGAACAAGGTAGTTTGTAACTTCTTTTGGTTGCCTAACAGGAGTAACTGTATAACCATGTTCATCCTTTAATCTGAATGATGCATGATAAGCATTTGCCGATTTACCAGCACCAGTTGGTCCTACTATTAAAATCACCCTGTTCGTCTGTATACTATTATAAATAAAGTTTGTCGCTGCTGTAATAACAAACTTTTTCAGTTTACTGGTCCAGTCTTGAAGTGTTTCATTTTGAAAATCTGTAAAATTATTTTATAAAAATAAAAACTATGATAAATAATGTATAAACATATGATAACGAAATTCCTACTTCTGCCAAAATATGGTATTGAAATAGAACAATATTCCTTATGCTTTCGAAATAGTATTTTTCATATTTGACGTCTATAACAAAATAAGGAGATCTGGTATGATAACCATTGAGACAACTATCCACCAATGTTCAAATGAAATGTATGTTATCAATCATAGGCAACTGAACGGCCTTCAACAATAAGAAAACCTGATAACGTTTATTTGGCCATGAAAGTCCGCGAGATGAAAAACATAAAACCGTTCAAGTGAGAAAACTAATGACCTAATTTATAACCAAACAATTTACGAAAAACAAATATGACAAACATGAACATCGACAACAACTGAACTATCTATAGGCTCCTGACTTGGGACAGGCACATCGAGCTCGAGAATGTAGCAAGGTTTTATATGTTTATTGGCGCACAACCCTCCCCTAAATTGTGACAGTGGTGTTACAGCATAACATTATAAATAATTATAAAAATAAGATTGATACAAAGTAGAAAAAAATCTAACAAAAACACAGACAGGACGTGGCAAGGTATTTATACATCCCTAACAAAAACATAAAAAAAACACAAAGTTGTGGTATGAATGCCTTCAACACGCATCATTGGCTTACACCGAACAGCAAGCTATAAAGGGCCTCAAAATGACGAGTGTAAAACTATTCACAGGAAAACCAACAGTCTAATCTATATAAAAAAAACGAAAAACGAGAAAGAGAAACAGTTGTTAACCACATCAACAAACGACAACCACTGAACCTCAGGTTCCTGACTTTGGACAGATAAAAACAAATGTAGTAGACCTGAGCGAACTTGTAACTAATGACAGCTAATCCAAAGTCAACAACAGCTAATAAAAAAATCATGTATCGTTGACTTAAATATCAATCAGCACACATTTAATTTCCAATGGATTTTCTGTAAAGACTCATTAACAGTCAGGAAACATGACCACGTGCAAAGCCAAAATATAGGTATCGACATATTGTAGCACGTGAAAATGCATACATGTATGAAAATAATACTCAGTTTGGTTTTAATTTTGTGATAAAAAATCAATATCTATATCAGTAAAAACAACATTCGAAGATCTAATCAAAGTGTTGAATTTGTAACCTTTGAGAATAAGTTTATTTAAAGGATTGATAAGACTACCGGGATCGTATCTAAACTGTTGGGCTCGGTAAAAAACATCGCCGTAAAAATTATGTCCATACAATGGGAGGTAGCTCTCATTGTACCTAATTGATAACGCCTTGTACAATATTGCCTCCCCTTGATACTTCATCCGCAGACAGTATGTTTCAGCCACTTTTTATTATGTAATTGATTGTTTTTACATCAGATGGAAAACAAACGAACAATAAAACCTCTGGCGTATTTAAAGGACTGTATTCTTTCTTCTTTTGAAATGCAGAACGATTTTGCCTCAGTTCCCGAAGCTGGAGGAATTACGAAAACAGCAGGGTCTATTGATATTCACCAAGTATGAGTAGAAATATCTTGAAAAATGTGTCGATCAGATTTTGTGAAATGAATATGAATTGTTTAACATACAATTGTAGGAACAACTGTTGGAAGATTATCACGAAGGGCCGTTCAGCTATGTTAAAGATACACTGTCCGATCCCCACAAGCGTCGACAAAATCATCTTTCTCAGTTTTCAAGTTTGATTGATTCCTACATTTCTAAAGAATTAGATCATGTAGCTGTGTACGGCCCTTTCCGAAAGAACCCTCTGTTATGTCATTAAACTTTATCTAAATAATTCACGGTTCCTAAGGGAGTGTCCAACAGAAGAGTAAGTGTTGACTGGTTGCATTGCAACTCTTTGTCTATAAATGAAAGCATTCCTTCGGACACCTCTTTTAATGAAAATTTTTAACTGTATAATCATAGACACGAAGAATTTATCGCTTTACTCTTACATCACGGTCGTGGGTGTGCCATGTGGAAATTGAATTTGGCCCGGGCCTTCCATCAACTAGTATTACATCTGCACGCCTTCCATTTAGAAGGTTATGAATGGAGGGGACAATATTTATTGACAACAGTCTTATTTTTGGTATGCGCTCTTCGCCACGGGCCTGTCACCGAACAACGAATGATGTTTCCTAAATGTTATTGAAATCAAACATAATTTTGTTTTAGAATTGTTTCATAGGTTATAATTAGGATTAGAGGTCAACAAAGATAAGTGTTTGCAACTGACAAAAGTGTTGACATTTCTCGGCAAGGAGTATAACTCAATTGACATGACAGTTCGAATTCCAGAGACTAATGAGGTGTTACAAAGATTTGCCAGGAGAAAAACAACACTGCACAAAACGTCAGTTACAACAAGCTTTTGGCAAGTAAGCTTAAATTCCGAATGCGTCCAAAGCGGAAGACTTTTTATTTCACGCATTCTACAGACATTATGAAAATAACATTTCAATCATTATTGTGTTCATATCACAGATGAATTTAGATAAGACATTAGGTAGTGGTTATTATTTTTATATGACTATAAAAGAATTAGAATAATTCCAGATGTAGATTGGTCTTCACCAGACAGCAAATAATACCTCTGACGCATATCTCAGGGGTGTTAACTTCGCCAAATTTGAATATTTGCTTTCGGACATACCGGAGTCTTTGTGGGACATGCACGTATATGTGCTTGGGATGTATGCTATTTATATAGCAATTCTATTTTCGACTTCTAGTATCTCTAATAAACGTGTACAGCTGTTTTGTGAAATTTTAAATGCGGGATCAGAACGTAATCAATAAATGTTGAATTTGGCATGTCAAATATGGTATTTGTGTGCGACAAGTAATGTCCAGTTGCGTGTGAGTGATATAGAATCTGTTAAAAATAGGTTATCGGATTTTACTATCTCGTTGGAATCTTTCGGGGAAGAACAGATCACGGTTTGTTATAGAATCTAAGATGTACAAATCAGATTTTGTCGAAAAAGAAGTGTTTAGTCACACTTTTTATTTTTTGCGCATAATTGGTGATAAGAGTAACTATGATAATTAATATGATATTGTTGTTTATCTAATTGTTGTTGTCTTGTGACTTCCAGGTCTTAAGTCTAGAAGAGCAGTTTTACAGAAAGAGGTTAAGCTTGCTAAGGATGCAGCCTTTCGGCCTGGTACTTATTCTAATCTGAAAAGTCAAATCAATGCATGCCATATTTTTTGTGTGTTTTATAAATTTCGACCATGTCCTTGTATTATGGATACCTTGTGTGCAAACGCATGTTTTCTATCAAAGAGTTTACGCAGTTTTGCTTCTGTAAAGAATTATACGTCTGGCATTAAGACCTGGCGTCAACTGTTTGGTTTTACTGTGGAACTTCTTTTATCTACAAATTTGAAATTGACTTTAAGGGGATTGAGCCAAAGGAATCAGCATGTGGCTGTGTCAAAATTGCCATTGTTACCGATACATCTAATTGATATTGTTAGGTTGTTAAATATCTATGATTATGTAGATGCTTGTTTTTAGAGTTTTCTTATGTTGGCATTTTTTGGTATGCTACGCCGCATTTTTGCGCCTGTCCCAAGTCAGGAGGCTCTGGCCTTTGTTAGTCTTGTATCATTTTTAATTTTAGTTTCCTGTGTATAATTTGGAGTTTAGTATGACGTCCATTATCACTGAACTAGTATACATATTTGTTTAGGGGCCAGCTGGAGGACACCTCCGGGTGCGGAAGTGTCTCGCTGCATTGAAGACCAATTGGTGGCCTTCGGCTGTTGTCTGCTCTATGGTCGAGTTGTTGTCTCTTTGACACATTCCCCATTTCCATTCTCAATTTTAAAGACGTTAAATTGGTCAGCAGAAGCTCTATATCTTTTAATTTCCGTGAACAATTGATCAAAAAGAATTTTGTTCTTAGTGAAAAGGGTACCCTTCTTTTATTTAAATGACTAAAGACTAGACAAGATCATGATAACACACATCAGGCTGGAATTCCTGAGATTATATCGAAACATCATGGAGAATGGCGATCTGACTGTTCTCAGACTTACATTAAACAAACCAGTGTTGATATGTATCAATTACTTCAGCCATAACTTATTTGATCGGTAGTCAGTTTTAGGCTATGGGTTCCGGTATATTATTATATTTTTGATGTTTTTGTATTTTGTTTTTTGTATTTTATATATTATTTCCCCCCACTGTTTTGGCGACTTCCCTTTTCGATGCAAGTGCTTCATATTAGAGATTTCCAATTAAATGACATTACTCAATATAACCATCCTATCTGATCGTATATCGGTCTATTGCAGTGAAGGACTACGTAGGGGAGCATAGACTGCATGAATTTTTGGCTCGTTGAATACACATACTTTGTTGGAATAGATACTATTTAAAAATTAGCACAAACTACTATTATAATTCTTTACATATTTTGTTATTAAATTTGGAATGATTTCTCAGACAACAACCTTTAGAGGGAACATTTATTTCAGTTACCGGTAATCAAATGCACTGATCATTACTTCGTCATTTCAATTGACCCATATATTTATCTCCCAAACGCTAAAATCTTAAAGCTACTTAATCAAATTTAAGTTTGGAAATAAAAATAATGTAATCTGAAGCGAGATTATATTCTCATTTTTGATTTAAAAGTTATAAAATTAAACAAGAGTTTCAAACACGCCGAAAGTAAAAGGTCTACACGACTTGCTTTTTCTTCTTCTTTTTTTTTGCATACTTCTATATTTTATTTCAAGATACTTTTGCAAAAGGTAAATTTCAGATCACTGAAGCATCTTTCTGATAGTACTTTGTAACCTTTCCTTAGAATTTTATCAAATGGAATTGATGAGGACGCTTCTTCAAGAAAACATATGATTACATTTTACTGAATCAGTTTTTTTTATATCTTGTCTTTAATTATAATGATGCATGGATCATAAGAAGAGCCCGTAC